AAACTTCAGCAGTTTTCCGGATTTTCAACAATATATAGGGTGTTCCATTCGAAAAATCAAAGTTGCAAGAAATACTATTGCATGCCAGAATAAACTACAGCCCTGCTTCAAAATCGCCGAATTCAACAAAACAATTTTCGACATTTCATCTAATTATTTCAGAACTACGTCATTTGACAAGTCGTGGAGGGCAAACATTGTATTTTGTTTTATGAAACCAGAAGTAGTGGGATCCGTTTTCCTGGGAAGCCAAGTAGGAACCCAAATGACTTTCATGATTTTCTGTGCTAAAACTGTTATTGTATCCTGGATGTGGGCAAGGCAATGCTCATCAGAGGTATCCTATATAATAGATAGTTTGTGTGCTCTCCAAGAAGCTGTGTCAAAATCACGTTTTGCAGGGGGGGGGATATAATTATCCCCCTCCCTCCATAGCATAACATCAGATTAATACTCCACATATTATTCATAGGGAGAATGGTGAAAATGGAATCGACAAGAAAATTAATGAAACATTGAAATTATAGGATCCGCTACAGTTCGCAATTTTTTCAGAAAATTGTAGCAATTTTCATTGCGCGCCTACGTACTAGTGTCATTTCGGACTATTGTGGCAATTTTTGGTTGCATTGCAAGATTGCAGTAATTCGTATTGGTGGTGCATTAATTCTTATGATGAATTTGTGGATGTTCAATATTGCATGCAATATTTAAGAATCATATTAGATGCGAATCAAACTCATAACTGAATGAGAAGGAGAACACAGACTTTTTTGACAAAAAGGCAATGCAAGATGGTCAGTCGGATTCAGTGTAAAACAGCCTGCATATTATTATTGCCAGAAATGTGAATTGCAGAAATCTATTGCATGCAATGAAAATTTAGATAGGTACTGTAAAGCGGCTCTAATCAATGAAAATAAAACAAAGCAAATAGCTATTTTTATCAAGAGAGGAAAGGTATCCATTTCCTCCCACAATATTTTTTTCTGGGTATGGTTTTGGAGATACGACTCAAACTTATGATTTTTCAAATGGAACACCCTGTATTTATGTATGTAAATGCTCGTTACTTTTTTTCCTTCATAATAATATATTATGTATATGGATATGAAATTTTCAAAAATGCTCCAAAATTACTAAAACATTGAATTTCAATAGTGGGGCTATGGATATTTCATATGAAAAAGTTTCAATTGAAGTATTTTTCCATGAAGAGGACATAGAATAATACCAACACTAATTAACTAACAAAACACAAAACTTAGGAACCTGATAGCAACAAATAAATAGTCATAATTATGTAAAATTAGTACCTGATTGAATATTTACTTAAATAATTGAATTTTCATGTTTTATTTATGATGATACAATCATTACTGAAACCAGAAGCGTTCCAATGACGAAGGGTGAATGAAAATATCACCTAACATCCATCTAAACTTTGCCTACGGGATTTTCCAGTTTTGAAATTCAAATGATGCATTACGAAATACATTTGATATTCTTGGAAATACAAATGACTATTTCGGAATTTAAAGTTTCAGTTTTTGAAATGAATGTGATAATTTTGAAAGACATTTCATGTTTTTCCAAATTGAAACGATTAATTTGAAATACAATTGACTCATTTTGAAATTGAATCGATAATTTTGAAATACATTTGATACTTTCTGAAACTAATTGGAATATTTTGAAATAAAAATGATGCTTTCTGGAATCCAAATGACAATTTGGAGATAAAATAGACGATTTTTGAACTAGAATTTGAAAAAGGGTAGTTATTGGAGGGGGGTCAAGTTTTCATTAGAAGACTCTGTAAATTAGTTTATATTAGTTCATGCATACATAAAATATGTGTTCTAGCAATAGTAGTGGAAAAATCACCTATGTGATTTCGTTTTTTTTTTGATAGCATAGCAATCAAGGGGAATAAGATGTGCATTTTAGATCCAGGTTGTGTTGTCTCCCGACGCGTGGCGGAGGGAGACAAAAAACCGTGAGATAAAATCTAATATTTTTCCCGTGACAGAAGAAAGGACGAATCAATATTGAGAAGATATCACATTATTTTGGAATCTGAAAATTATCGACGTGAAATTTTAAGTTTTTAACAGTAGGGACACCTGCGTTGTAGGCATCTTTATCATTCTTTTGAAGTAATCAAATATCTAATGTCACTTCTGTCAGTCTAATTCTGTGATTTGATTTCAAAAACTCACGAATTTGGTGGTTGTTTAGTAATATACGTAACCGTGAAGTCTAATGGAAATAAAAGGACTTGCAGTTCTTTCTCGGAGACGGTATTATTGACTCATTTTTCGGAACTATAGCACAACAAAAGCCATCAACAGTGTATATATATGTGATATATATCTGGGAAAAAAGTACTCACTTTTTTCCCACGGAATAAAAAGTAATTTATGAAAAGTGACATTTTATAACATGCTAACAGAAAAAATATTTGTTTTCGATGTTAAAAGACATGTATCACTATTTTGCCACTTTTATATCGGACGAAAAAAAACTCACCTTTCTCGATGCAACCGATGTAAACACAGTAGCACAAGCTCAAGGAAACATGTTTCGCTGCCACAACACGCCGCGGCACTGAACGTCCTGCAATCGGCGTCGCGACGACGACTATCTCGCGTCGCGACGCTTCATGCACGTCTCTTCAGACCAGCGTCATGCGCACGCCGGACGTCGATATGCCGTTTTATCGCGAGAATGTCACTGGTAACCTATTAAAAGAAGTGGCATCGAGTTTTGAACTCGCCGGTTCAGCGCAACATGACCTAAGCCCATTTCTTCGGTTTCGGAGACAAATGACCAAAAATTATTGAACGAGATACTGAATTATTTTTTTCGGTGACTGGGAAAAAGTTTGGCATTCCATCATCTCGCTGTTGGCAGGTTATAGTCACTTTTCATAAATTACATTTTTCCCGTGGGAAAAAAAGTGAGTACTTTTTTCCCGGATATATATCACATAAATATACACTGTTGATGGCTTTTGTTGTGCTATTTCCGAAAAATGAGTCAATAATACCGTCTCCGAGAAAGAACTGCAAGTCCTTTTACCAACCACTAAATTCGCAAGTTTTTGAAATCAAATCACAGAATTAGACTGACAAAAGTGACATCAGATATTTGATTACTTCAAGAGAATGATAAAGATGCCTACAACGCAGGTGTCCCTATTGTTAAAAACTTAAAATTTCTTGTCGATAATTATCAGATTTCAAAATAATGTAATATCTTCTCAATATTGATTCGTCCTTCCTTCTGTCACAGGAAAAATAGTGTATTATACACGGAAAAAATATTAGATTTTAGCTCACCGTTTTTTGTCAACCTAGAACTAAAATCTACTACTTTCTTTCCTTGTATATAATAAATAACTATTGTGGTGTGTATGTTTGAAATTTCTACTTCCTCGATCACTAGGTAATGACAAATGATAAATGAAGTTTCAATGAAAAATCCCATATTTTTCATGATTTTCTAGGAAAAAAATCTTGGTTAGGCCCTGTTGAATTTAAAATTTGATCAAACATACCCTGAAACTGTTGGATTCTGTCCAAAAAGGGGAATTCGTCTCGTGGGTGATGCCTCGCTCGCAAACTCGCTCCTTTTTCTGGAACACCGTATACAAGTTGGCGATCTGTCCCTATTTTATAGATATTTCCATGGAAGATGCTCTTCTGAAATATCAACAATTATTCCTCCATTGGCAGTCCGCGCGAGATTAACCCGTCAAATGAGGCTTCGTCCCCCTTCGTGGTCACTTATTGAAGACCTGCAGAACATCTTTTCCCAAAGACTCGTTTATCCAACGAACTTTTTTCAATACAAATTGTCACTGAGAAGCTGGTGAATTTTTCTTTTAGGCTCTCTGATAGGAAAATTCTTCAAACGCAGTGACATTTTGGGGCAAATCATTTGATTTGTCCCTACTACACGTATATTGGAATGATATTCATATATTTTCATTTTATAGAAAGGAGGAGAGAACATACAATATAACATCGGTTATTTTCTTCGTATAATTTAAAACCAATCAGAACGTTCAATATTGAGTTAATAAGAGGTACCTTGTATAATTACGAATAATATACGTGGATATACATAGACCCATATAGCACTAGACATTTTGGGGACGTCCATTTTTTGTCCGATTTAGGTCTTAACGTCCGGGACCTTTTCAAGTCGTATACTGTAAACGTCCTTTATTTCTAGACGTACTGGGTACGTACGATTCCGATGTACTGAGTACGTCCAACTCTGGACGTTATCGATTTTTGTGGGCGAGATTGAATAATATTGTATAATGATAGTAATTGAAATCATCGCATATAATTCCTACCCTCGTCCTCGATCTCCTATCTAGTCATGTAGGAACCTTGCAAAAATCATTGTGAATTCTTTCGGACATCAAATTAAAAATGACACTTTTCTCGAAAACGGTTCGATCGTTTTTCGGCATTCTAACAGGAATACCTTCTTCATGTAAGAGCGTTTGAAAAATTATATAATGATATAGAATTAAGAAATGAAATAAACCCATTTCGATTATTTTTCATCCAAAAACCCACGAGAAAAGTCTGGCAGGAGATCCGGAATAAAACTAAAACATACCCTCTATAATAGCTCCCACGTTTCTCCTTTTTTCAGTGAAATAAGTGTAGTAAGTAAATGACATTGATTTATGAGGAAATTCGAAAAGATTCGAAATCAAAAAATATCCAGTCCACTAATCTACTAGTTTTCACGGTGAAAAATACACGTTAATATTGATTTGATAAGGATTCATTTACATACAATAATTCAAATTTAATTTTTTGCCTCACAGACAGTACCGTCATCTTGTGATAAATGTTAAAACTAAAATTAGGTTCTAGAGTTATAGCTGATTAAGTCCAAATAAAAGAAGAATGTACATAGGTACTGGCGATGCTTGAATCAGAGAAGAAGAAAATAAAAATAGGAAGTAGGAAGAAGAATTGTTGAAAGATTGTCTTAGGTTATGGTTTCTGCTTACAAACAAAAATAATTATTGAAAGATTTCAGATTCATTGGGCATTGTTTTTAAACCTGAATAAAATGATTGCGGCGCAAAATCAGTCAGGAATACCTGACAAAATGTGGCAACCACCCTTTGTCCAATTTGATACCACCATGGGTGAATTCACTATAGAGCTGTACTGGAAACATGCTCCACAAACCTGCAGAAATTTCGCCGAACTCACCAGAAGAGGATATTATAACAACACAATATTCCATCGAATCATAAGAGACTTCATGATTCAAGGCGGTGATCCTACTGGCACTGGCAAAGGGGGTTTATCAATATATGGTCAAACATTCAAAGACGAAATACACCCAGAGCTGAAGCATAGTGGTGCTGGAGTTTTATCAATGGCTAACTCTGGACCTGACAGTAATGGTTCTCAATTTTTCATTACATTAGCCCCAACTCAGTGGTTAGATGGCAAACATGCTATATTTGGAAGGATACATTCGGGCATGAACATTATTAAGAGAGTTGGACTGGTGGAGACTGATAGAAATGATAGGCCAATGGATGAAATCAAGATAATTAGAGGAAAAGTCCTGAAGAACTAGTCTTGAGAATAAATCTAATGTTTTTAATTTATTAAGTATTTTATATGAATGAAATATATTTTTTTTAGATTCATGTTCTCATTTCATCCTCTCTTGATTTTCACAGCAGTAGCTTTTTAAATGGATAGGAAGATTTTCTGGAATAAACACTATATTTCATCTCCCTATTGTTAGTGGATTATTCCTTAATAATGATGAAAATGATGATGCTCAATGACAACAAATTAAATTTTTTTGATTGAGTCATCTGAATTTGTTGGAAGTCCCTTGAACTGCAGGTACCTAAAATAGTGGTATAATATCTCAATATCAAAATACAGATATTTTCAATTCAGTACCTAGCTACCCAAGAAATAATCTCCCATAGGTTGTGAAGTAGAAGGTTCATAAATAATAAGAACATTGGATATTTTAGGTTGTTTTTTAAGAAAAATGAGTTATAAAAAAATTGTAATTAGGTACATTATTATGCTATTCTTGATTGCCAACAATAGGCTTAGGTCTAGTCTTGAAAATGATTTTATTCTTGATAACAGACTTCACTGTATATGCTGTAGCTCCATCTACTTTTTTCTCCAACAAAGCAAAAGGTTTCTCAAGCTTGGCTTCTTTTCCATACATCAGGTGATGGCCAATGATGAGAAGGGGTATCCCAGATTTTGTGAAATGTAGGTCGCCGATAAACTGACCCTCAAAATTTGAATCAGAGTGAGATTTCAAGTCTCCTTGCAGTTCTATTATCGCCCATTCATCCGAGAAACCCTCCTTAGGACTGAAATGATTAAGAAAATATGTAATTTTCATAAACTAATCGAGAATCAGTAATCGCGCATTGAATAATTTGGAATTTCATCAAACCATGATAGAAAGTTTAGACTCAAAATGAAGATGGTTTCTTCGATCAAAAGATATTTTTATCAACAGATAGCTAGAGCTGGGCAGTACTCGAGTACAATAAGTACTCGAATATTGTACTCTGAGTACATTTTGTGTACTCAGTACCCAGTACCCGAGTACATTTTCAATAAAGTACCCGGTCCCGGTACTCGTACCCGTAGCATTTCGGGAAAAGTACCCGGTACCCGTGTTTATTAAACGAGTACATTTTCTGGGTACTACTAGAATAAACTTGTCTCTGCATATGCGAGTGCAACACTGGAAACCGCTGTTATATGTTATATCATCATTATCAGTCAGCTCTTCAATCAGAAACAATAAAAGCGGAGTTTTTGTTTTGTACACTACTGTGTAACAGTTATAGAGTCAAGTGTTTTTTGAATCGTTTCTGTTGTTTTCTTAAGACTAAACCACACTAAACTAAGAGGTAAGGGTATGTATTGCAAGTTAACTTGTTTTGTTTAATAAATATGGTTACTAATACTGATGCAAAATTTCTCAATTCTCTATTCAAAATGTACTTGAAATGAGTACCCGTGAAATTCGGGTACTTGTACCCGGAGTACTTTACTCTGAGTACATCCAATGAGTGGGGTAGGTACTCGGTACTCTGTACTCGTTCTTCAATTATAAACAGTACCCGGTACCCGGTACTCGAGTACAATTTATCAGTACCCGGCCCAGCTCTGGATAGCGCTAATATCAGTATATTCAAGAATAAAATAAAAAAATTGTACACTTGCATACTTTTGATGAATGATCGGCATAAATCTCTTCTTCATTTCTCTATATCCCAGAATAATTGTTAGATTTTATAAGTTACATAGGTATTATAGAATTCTTGAGTGAATTTTCAATAGTATATTTTTTTTCTTTGTTGTATATGATAATTATAATATTGTTTAGCTAGTTTTCCGAGACCATCAGCACGTCATGCAGTGCTGCTTTGGAAAGCCTATTTTGAATAGTGTTGTTATTCCAGATAACTTTAAACTGTGACTGTAACCATTGCTGCATATTATTCCAATAAAGTTCTTGAAAAAAAAAAACTCAAGAATAGCAGGAAAATTGAGTCCCATAATGCTTCAGAAATGCCTGATGAGGAGCGTAAAATTGTCTGACATAAAAATTCCCTTAGGTATAGAACCAAAATTTTTCAGAACCAAATTAGGATAAATTCCACAAGAAATGTCATCTTCAAATTACAATTGAATGTGACAGAAATAACAACCACTACTAAATTGAAAAAGTGTAGATGAAGGAGAATTAGAATACTGCATTTTTTTATTTTCATACAGGTTTTCAAAGTTTTTATAAAAACAGGACATAATAATTCTAAAAAGAAAATAAGTATCATCAACTTCAAATTTCAGTCTCAGGTGGAGCTAGTGAACTGGAAATCAGGCCATATATATTATTGATTGATTGTCTTTATTACCCCAAGAAACATTTCTGTTTTAATAGGGATACATGAATACATATAAAAAATAATAATAAATGGTTAACTAATGAATTCCATTCAGTGGAAAGGAATTAAAATTTTTTTCTCAAGATTAAAGTTATATATTTCATTTCTGAGTAATCAAATCATGCCACACATTTCTCATTCAAATTTTGTCCTGAGCAAGTATTTTTCAAGATTGATTTCATCCCTTTATTCTTGCATCATATATATTTTTCAACTCATTCGGTAATGAATATGGTATAAAATTATTCCATTGTGAAAAACAGATTGATTAAAGAAAATAACATTCAAGTTCAAGGTTCTTCAGAAGCGATAAAATAAGAGACTTTCAGTATAATATGTTCAATGAAAGTGAAAAAAAATTTTAAATTCCACTGTTCTTTAAAGATATGTACCGAGTTTGAAATATATGTTTTGTTCGAGAACAGAATAAACATAATCATGCTTCAACACTACCTATACACCTTAGGAATCCAGATATAGGATATATTTTTTTATCGCTTGCAGAGCACGAAAGGAAATCCCTATAATGTTCAAAGAACATCGTGCGTTCCTTGGGAGGATAGGGACAGGAGGTAGGTATAGGTATTGGATTTTTTTTCGAACTTCTGGAGATTATAAAAAGGTGAGACAAAAAGATCAGGAAATTATGAAGTTTGCAAGTTGGACAACATGCAAAATGAAATTCGATCAAGTCACAAAACAGTTGCAATGGTTTATTCATTAACATACATAGGTACATTCATAAAAAAATAATCAATATCTGAATTTCTTGAAAAGTGGATGCTTATTCAGATTCGAAGATTTCTTGTATTCATAATAAACAGCATCATCTGCCCCAGACATTGAACCCATATTTCCCACTTTCCGCATAGCACCACCTTTAGCAGCACCTTCACCAGGAACACGTTCATCTTCACAATCAATATCACTAGCTGCCAGGACCTAAAAATTCAAAAAATAATCAGCCGTTCAAAATTCGTAGAAATAAATCAACAATATGCGAAAAATGCGAAAAACCTCTGTCAAAACCCCGTTGATTTACATTCGTCAATGGACGTGACTTATGCCCTTGATTTACACCAACAAGATGAACCATCCTTAGAAGAGCAATAAAGCCAGAAATTCTATTCAGTAGATGGCGGTATCTATGTATGAGCGACTACTTTTTGTTGAATAGAATAGAATAGAATCTTTATTGTTTACAGAAACACATGGTTTCATAACAAGGAGTTCATACAGTGAGGCAGCAAAAACTTATGACTAATACAGATATACCACCGAATTGATGCAGTAGTGAAAAAGCAGTGCCGGATTTAGGGGGGGGCTATGGGACTATCAGCCCCCGGCGGTGAATTTCAAGAGGCGGTAGAGAAAAAGAGAAAAAGCAAGCAGCAATACAGTCGTCGCCGACGAGGCGACAAATATATTATATTGCTTCTTGCTTTTTATATGCCGCCTCTTCAGTCGCCTTTTGAAGCAAACGCGCAATTAGCTACCGCTGGCACCGCATCAGAAGAACTTGGTTAAGATACTGTTTTTGTGAAAATCATAACATCCACTAATCTAGCGTCAGCTGTGCCTTGGACGCTACAATACAAAAGCGGCGGCAGAACATACTTTCATTTGATGATGAGAAAAAAAACCGCATTCTACTCAGTATAGAGTAGGGGTAATTTCGTGATTCGTCTAACTCAATAACAAAAAACAAAATCAGAGTTCAGTATTTAATAGGTTGTCGTTGGTATTGTTGGTAATGGTACTAATGATAGATAAATATTGAAACTGAAATTAAAAAAAATCTGGTTGTTTTCTGGTAAGATATATTAGTGAGAGCAGATCAAGTCAGCAAGGCCCTGCAAAACTCAAGCATAGCCCTGGACAGTGGACACGTGTCTCAGTGCATATATTCCATTGAGGAATTATTATGAAAGTTTGCGGGAAAAGTTCAATTTTTACGAAGATGCACAATAATTACTCTCGAAAGAACTTAACTATAAGGAGGTCAGAACCCGTAAGAGGAAACTGGCTCTTGAAGAAGCTGACACTGAAGCTTTATTGACACCACAGACCAGAATGCGATCCCATGTATTCCTCAAAGCAGTCGACCATTTGGTACTAGGTGAAGTAAATATTCGTGTTTTGATTGATTTGAATTCTATTTCCGAAAACAAAAGTGATGAAATATTCAATGCAAGATCGTTGATGGCGCTTTTGCACAAATACAAGATCACAGATACTTTTTGCAACGTGGAAGTTGCTCTAAGAATCTTCCTATTCCTGATCATTAGTAATGCCAGTAGTGAACGGTCATTCTCAACTTTAAAAATAGTGAAAAACTACATTAGGAATTCCATGGTAGAGGATACATTGAATAGCTTTTCGATTTTAAGTATTAACAGTGACATGTTATCAAATCTGGAATTTGATGATGCCATTGATGACTTTGCATCAAAGAAATCAAGAAAAGTATTTAAGTATTCATCTGAAAAAAAATATTAGTTTTTTGTTGTTATGTTTAACGTGTGAAGTAAATATAATTTGATTCGTTGGTACATAATGATTTCATGTTATTGTTATATGCTGTAAAAACAGCAGTGGAAGAATTATTTGAATTTTGAAACTGACAATTGAAATTTAATATTTGGCGGCGACGCGGCGGCATCGTAAAAGTTAGCCCCCGGCGTAAGGGAGTATAAATCCGGCACTGTGAAAAAGTGACATGATAGATACCAAAAGCCAGTAGGAAGAAAATAATAAGAAAGAACAAAAGAAAAAAAAGTATAAACCCTAAATCAGGCGCCCTCTGCCCCATTACAAACATAAGTAGATACCTAATACAATACATGTCAGTGCATTAAATCTAAGTGGACGAATAGCTATGTGCTAAAATCCTGGAATAAAGTATAGTCCATTATACATTCAGCCTAAAGCACATTCACTGAGCTTTCAGTCGTTCATAATAAAGGATCTGAGTTTACAAATATTCCAAATGTGGGCACTCAGACTTTTTGCAGATGAGGGATTAATATCATTGAAGAGGTTAACCAATCCGTTCAAATCAGAGAGGTAGATCTGGAGGTTTCATCGTGACGTAGATCGGACAATCGAATAGGACATGATTGATTGTTTCATATTGATGTTGATTGCAGATGGTACATATTTCAGCAGGATTCATTCGATAGGTAGCTCTGTTATATGTGAATTTAATGGCGTATTTGCTAGCGAGTCTGAGTTGAGCCTGGGTTCGAGTAACCGAAATAGGGATTCTCATGTGTAGGTACTGTTGGGCACCAGTATTCATTTTAAAGTAGCTATAAAGGGTTAGTTTCTCGAAGTATTCAATGAAAATTATTTTTTTGTTTTGCCTTAGGATACTGCTGTTCAACTCATCAACGAGTAGGAGGAATCCGCGTACTCGAGTTGACATTTGAATTGTGAAGCCCAGTTATACCTGATGAGACAGGACGCATTTCAGTTGGCTAGATCAATTTGACGAAGAAGGCATATTTTCGGAACGCGATGATCTTCCATCTCAAGTATCTTAATAATCCAATTCAAGGTGTGTTTGAAGATGATATAGCTTAATCTGACTCGGCCTGTCTCTATCCTGACTGCATAATCAGGTGTTGTAGTAGACAATTGCAAGAGCCTTTTTAAGAAGTTGAGTTGTACCTAAGTTGGAGTTCAATTATACAATATTAAAATTATACCTGTTAGGTCAAACGAAATATTCAATTTGGATTTAGTTTTATTGAATGACAGGGCTCAACAACTTTTTGATAACTAGGTCATCATTGGTGACTTGACAACCTTGCTTCATGAGTGGGAATAGAAGATTATCTGACCAATAATGGAACACCACAAGAACTGACGTCAATATCCGACGTATCGAAAAACATGGCCAAATGGCGGCCATGACAGCACGTTTGAAATGAGCTCTGAAATTCAACAACTTCCTATAACGCATAGGCACATTATTTACATAAAAAAACGAGTAAGAAGTGTTGCAAAAATTAATTCAGGTCCAATTAATCACTACCAGTCCACTCGTCCAAGATCTAGTTCAATGCGGAATATATTGGAAGTTTATCATCAGATATTTTATGCAAGAAGGAATGCCGCATCAGGGTCGAATTGAAATATTTTTATTTTAAGCCTTCAGAATGTCAAAGTTTGTGAGTTTTCTGCCTCAGTAAGACGGATATTCCTAGAGAGTTCACTAGTTCAGCAATTTGCAGGTAGATGGACTCGAGCAGATCCCAAGAGTTTTGCTAGCGCCGCCTACGAACCTGTCAAGAACTAAGGCAAAATTCGACTTCAACATTTTACATGGAGGTGAATCATCTAGTGCGAATAATCAAGGGTTGAAGTTGGGTTATGTTTACCTGGGTTGTTATAATATTCAAAATGCCCCACAATAAATTGAAATCTACCTGCTGCAACAGCTGTCCCTGTTCCTCTCTAGTTTTATACATCATATCGGGTTCTTCGTCCATGCCGGCCAGCTTGGTGATCACCTTGTAGCTGTATCCCTGGTTGACCAGGAAACGCTGTCTCTTCCTTGAATAGTTCATCTCCATTGTGTCCTAGAAACAATCATATTATTATGTAGGGGTCGAATTTCGGACCAAAACATCAAAGAGAAAGGTTCAGTTCAACTTCGCTCATTGCTGACATTGTCTTCTCCAAACCATAGCGGCGTTATTTATTGTCATTGTTTCAAAACTAATTTGACGTGTAACTGGGATATACAGGGTGTTGTGTCCAGGAGTGAAATTAAAAAAAAACTTTCACGTCAATGCAAAGCAATGCAGAGGACTGCTAGGTTTTGCTGTGTATGTACTGCAGAGTTTTGCAAAATACCATAAGGGAAGGTGAAGTACTGCGTGGTACTGCTGAGCATTATGAAGAACTGCGTGGTATTGCGGTGTACTGCGAGCTATTGCGAATGACTGCAATAAACTTCGGAGTACTTACTGTAGGGCGTAGGGTATTGTGAAGTACTGCGGGTTATTGTGGATTACTTTTGAGTTTCTGCGGGTTATTGCGAAATACTTCGTGATGTTGCGGCGTTTTTTAGGATACTGCGGGTTAATGCGAAATAATTCGTGGCATTGCGGCGTACTTTAGGATATTTCGGAGTACTGTAGGATGCTTTGTTGTACTATAGGGTATGGTGAAGTACTGCAAGATATTGCGTTGTACTGCAACGTATTGCCAAGTAATGCGAGGTATTTCAAAGTAATGTGAGCTATTGTGGAGTATTGTTGGTGTTGTGAGTATCTCTAAGTATTGTGTTGTACTGTATGGTATTGCAATGTATTGTGAATTACTTGTGGAATACTTCGGAGTATTGTGAGATACTTTGTTGTAATGTAGGGTGTTATGAAGTACTGCACGATATTGCGTTGTACTGCGAAGTATTGCCAAGTAATGAGAGGTATTTCAAAGTACTGTGGGCTATTGTGGAGTACTGTAGGTGTTGTGAATTATCTCTAGGTAGTGTGTTGTACTGCAGGATATTGCTGGGTATTGTGAATTGCTTGTGGGATACTGCGGGTTATTGCGAAATACTTCGTGGTATTGCGGTGTTCTTAGGAGATACTTCGGAATACTGTAGAACACTTCGCTGTACCGGGTGAACAACTAAGAACGGCTGTCATCAATCCTTTCTCCAACTTCGACCGTCAATATCTTCCGTTGCTGAAAAGCTATCATGTTGCAGTTTTCGTTGGTCTCTTGAGATTTAGTTTCTCTATTTGATGATGTAATTATATGCATATATTACATTTTCAATTCACGATATCTATTGATACTCCAGATCACGCCGACAGCCGTTCTAACTTGTTCACCTGGTACTGTAGAGTATTGTGAAGTACTGCAAGATATTGCGTTGTACTGCGACTTTTTGCCAATGAGAGGTATTTCAGAGTACTGTGGGCTATTCGCGATAGAAAATAAGTGTACGCCACCTATCGAAGTTTTTGAAAGCTGGCAATGTGGTCTATTTATGTTGTTTTCATTGGTTTGCATTTGCTTTTCATTTGTGACTATTGGTCAATCCTTCAAAACAAACCGCTCAGAAGTTTTCAAGTTGTAGCTGTCAGAAGGGGTGATGTATAATTTTTTATTGCGATTTGTGGAGTTACAGTGAGTTTGTTGAAGTATCTCTAAGTATTGTGTTGTACTGCAGAGTATTGCGGGATATCGTGAGGTAGTATGCAGTTCTGCGAGTTCCATTTCCCTTAGTAAATAAATCCTAATATGAACAGATGAATGAATAATCAAACTTAACAAAAAAAACACTCGTGTGGTGAGTACCTGCGAGACGAGAGTGTAGAAGAAAGCGTTGTATTCCTCGGCGATGGCGCCCTTTTTGGCACGCAGGATGCGACCCAGCCGTTGCGCCTCTTGCCTGCGCGAGCCCCCATGCGACGATATCTGGATGAGGACGTTGGCCTCGGGCAGGTCGAAGGAGGTGTCGGCCACCTTGCTCACGAATATCGTATTCACCTGGAGAGAAGAATATTTTTTCTGTGACGGGAAAAAAGTTTGGCATTTCATCTCTGTTGGCAGGTTATAAAATGTCACTTTTCATAAATTATTTTTTTCCCGTGGGATAATTTGAGTACTTTTTTCCCGGATATATATCACATATATATACACTGTTGATGGCTTTTGTTGTGCTATAGTTCCGAAAAATGAGTCAATAATACCGTCTCCGAGAAAGAGCTGCAAGTCCTTTTATCTTCCATTAGACTTCGCGGTTACGTATATTACTAAACAACCACTAAATTCGCAATTTTTTAAAATCAAATTACAGAATTAGACTGACAGAAGTGACACCAGGTATTTGATTACTTCAAAAGAATGATAAAGATGCCTACAACGCAGGTGTCCCTACTGTTAAAAAATTAAAATTTCACGTTGATAATTTTCAGATTTCAAAATGATGTAATATATTCTCAATATTGTCATCCTTTCTTCTGTCACAGAAAAAAATAGTGCATTATATACGGAAAAAATGTTGAATTTTAGCTCACGGACACAACTCAACCTGGAGCTAAAATCTACTAGTTTTGTCCCTTGTATAATAAATAACTATTATTTGTTATACAAGGGAAAAAAGTAGTAGAATTCAACTGGAGGTCAGGGGACAAAAACCGTGAGATGAAATCTAATATCTTCCAGTGTATAATACACTACTAACTGACCCAGCAAACGTTGTTTTGCTATACAGAGTGTCCCATAAATAGCGTGCAGTACTTCATCAGCAGATTTTGAGATCAGATCAGAAATAAGAAAAAAGTTGCTATAAACATAGGTCAAATAATAAGGTTTCATAAGCGAGCTACACCCCTCCTGAAGATGGTACCCTGAAGAAGGTTTTTCTTTTATATCTTCGAAACTGTTGATAGCAGAATTATAAAATTTTGCAAGTCGACCAACCTTTTTATGTTTGATACTATGAGATAATAAATAATTTCAAAATTTTATCATGAAATGAGTCAAACTGTGTGGGGGTGGGGAGGTAAAGTCACCCCAACTTTTTTGGGTGCGGTTTTTTTCCCAATTTCAGCAAAAAATTATGATATTTTGAAGCTTATTGCATAAAAAAGTTCTTGCTCAAATTCGATAGAAAGTAATAAAATTAGAAAATTTCAAAATTTGAGCGTAGGCTATAAAACACGACCACTTTGTTTGTGAAAAAATAATCAAGACAGCTAGCTAAAAGATTTATGAAATAAGTTACTCGTGCACGATATTGGATTCGCCATCTTGAAATTACCAAATTTGACGAAGAAATCGCATAATCTCGGATCTCGAGAATCCCTAGATACCAATAATTTTTACAATGTTACATGTTTACAAAATTCTCCCACCATATTGGATCTGCCATCATGAATTTCCAAATTTTGGCGAAATAATCGTAATCTCCGACCCCGAAAACTGGCAGATACCAATTTTGAATATAATCGGATCATAAATACAGAACTCGTCCGCCATATTGAATCCGCCACATTGAATTTCCAAATTTTGACGGAAGAATCATGATCTCCAACCCCGAAAACCTGCAGATACCATTTTTGAAAAGAATGGGATAATAATTGCAGTACTCGTCCGCCATATTGGATTTGCCATCTTGAATTTCCAATTTTGAAAGTACCTTACGACCGATTCTCAGACATACCAAATATGCATTTTCATAAGAATGGGTCACGCCGTTTCGGAGAATTTTATATATTAGATTTTTTTCTGTGACTTCATGATTTCCATACAATTTTTGCTGAGAATTTTTCCTACAATAAGAGGATTTAACATTTATCCAATGACGACAAAAAAAATGACAACACCTTCTGAAAAATTGATGATCCCAATAGACTTTACAAAAAAATACATCAAAAGCCCTAATGATTTTTGGAGAACATCCCAGAAGATATTATAGATTGAGCCTTATTGAACTTTTTTTTTAATTCTACTGAAGACAGCCGTTTTTCGCAAAATATTATCATGTCCTGATGAATATTGAATTTACTTTGAGTAATTTATCTAATAAACGTTTAGCTTTTTCTGCTGAGAATAGTTAATAAAATTGGTTCAGAAATGTTCCTTCCATAAAAATACTCAGGTTTCAAAAAGACCACAACATAAAACAACAACTGTTTATTGATAATTTGAATAAAAACCTACCTTTGGATTGAACTTGAAGTTCTGCAAAATCTGTATCCTCTCGCCTTGCGAGGTCGGCCCATAGATATAGGGTTTGTTCATTTTGATTGCATAATGTTTCAAAGCGAAAACATTGTCCGAAAACACGATGGTCTTGTCGCCCCGCCTCTCGTGGTACCTGACCAGATACTGGGTGGCTCTGAACTTGTTTGGGTTCATCACATAGAGGAGCAGGCGCTTGCTGGTCCTGCAGACGAGATACTCCCTGTAGAATTCCGGGGTCATGGGGCACCATACTTCAGCGCACTGGACTCTTGCGATGTAGCCTGAAAAAAAAAACAAGTGTCATTTTTGATGATAATTTTTTTCACATGTCATAATGTGACGTATTCGTTGTTTCAACAGAGATGTATAGAAAGGACCCCGCACTTTTAGTACGTAAAATGGTTCTCGGTGAAATTTTCTGAATTTTCAGTATGTTGTAGAATTCGATGAACTGATTGAACCTGCAGAATCGTGAAGTTCTTTGATGAACAGATTCTGAGATACAGGGCGTTGAAGTTACAAATCGGTATTTTTCATTTAATTATTTTCTCGAAATTCAAAGATGCCAAGTACAATTTTTTTCGCTCATATCATCAACGAACCTCCATATTACTCAACATAATTCAGATGGTTCAGATAATGTAATTGTTTACAAAGTGAAACATATAAACATTTCAGTGATGTCTGAAAATTCGATGTAAAAATGAAATATCGAAAAAATAATTTAGGCATGCAATATACTATTCTCATTCCATCATGTACATTATATTAATATTATCAAATTCATATATCTGCTATTGTTATTGAATTTCTAATGTTCACCCTGTATATGAGTACTAAACTTATTTTCGTCTCCACATTCTCACGTTTCACTATTTGTGAAAAATATCGGCCACTATGCGAATGTAAGTGAACAAGTCTCTTCAACTCTTCATGTAAATGGTAAGTTCCTGAATTAATAACTATGACACCCGTCATGATAGGGAACTGAATTTTCAAGACAGCGTTGAGGAGCGAATGATGAATATATTAAAAAATAATTAGGGAATTTCACCGAGTTAATCATGAATAACAGGGTGATTTCAAAAAACACGATTTTTTGTCATTTTCATCATCGAAAATCTTCATGATTACCCTATATATCTCAACGAAATCATGTTCATACGGTATCAGCTATCTTGGGAGGTTAACAATTCACTCGAATATACAGGATGTGTATGAATAAATCGGTTTTAGGTGTCACTAATTTTTCAAATCACCCTGTATGAAATGTATGAATTGTGATTCATGATGGAATGAGAATAGTATATTGCATGCCTAAATTATTTTTTCGATATTTCATTATTACATCGAATTGTCAGACATCACTGAAATGTTTATATGTTTCACTCTGTAAACAATTACATTATCTGAACCATCTGAATTATGTTGAGTGAAATGGAGGTTCGTTGATGATATGAGCGAAAAAAATTGTACTTGGCATCTTTGAATTTCGAGAAAATAATTAAATGAAAAATACCGATTTGTAACTTCAACGCCCTATATCTCAGGATCTGTTCATCAAAGAACTTCACGATTCTGCAGGTTCAATCAGTTCATCGAATTCTACAACATACTGAAAATTCAGAAAATTTCACCGAGAACCATTTTACGTACTAAAAGTGCGGGGTCCTTTAACTGGTAGGCTCACTCTTCAATTGTTTCGTCAGACTAACTCTCGATATGGAACAATTGCAAGCGAGTTTTGGACGTGGGGTTCAGGTATTTGCGATAGAGGCGCCATAATCGGAAAATCGTTCAAAACCTTGGTTCTGTGAGGGATGAATCTATTTCCATCATTGTTCTGTGGTCGAATGAATACTGTGCTCAACATTTTCATTCAAATTTCAATTTGAAATAGAAGCAAGAAATCTTTTTTGTAGTCGATTGTAATAAGCTTCACTTCTTTCATGACATGAACCTATTTAAAGCATGTAATCTGATGAAATTCCTCTTTGAAGAACCAGAACAAAGAATGTATCAACTATTGAAACCAATATCGAAAATCATAATAGGCAGATATGGTAACTGGTACTCACCTTAGAATTTATTCAAACCAGTTCACGCTAATATTTCAAATCACTGAAATAATACTGTTGTAGAACAGAGATTTTCTTTTTTCTATGGTGGATTACGTATTATACACAAAATTTAGAAACTACGGAACACCTCCCTAATGAACACTCGACCCCAATCTCAGAAATAACCATTTTTTCAGCTCAAGAATATTTTTGACATATTGACGTTTCGATCCTTTGATAAGGAATCCGTTCACTGCTCTGATCCAAATCATATACGTATCCAAATATTTTTCGGTCGGTAATATGTATCCTGTAAATATGGATTGTAACCAGGATGAGCTCAGCGAGATTTACCCACGTCAATTATGTTTATCAATGGTTTATCAGAGTAGGCGCCATCGAGAAACTTGCAAACGACCTTCAATAGGGAGCAAGCGCACCAGTTAAATTTCTATATATCTCTGTTTCAACCATTGTCTGCTAAATATGGAGAAAAAATCTAGTGAGCTGAAGTATCTGGTCTGCTCAAACAAGGGAAATCACCTACAGGGTTCTGTGGCCGATACAGTAGAACCGCCATACGGTCAACTCCAGGAAACACTTGTTTCAATTGTTTTCCTGTCAAATCTACATAACCTTGAAAATCGTAAATGAGTTGAGCCTCCCTCAGCGGTGCTCTGCTCTCGGCAGTCTCGGCCGGCGGCGTACTTTGTTCAGTGAGTTTGAGTTCAGTCACAAAATTTACGGGTCACGGTCACTCAGTCACTCAAAAATTCAAAAATAGTTCATGCAGATATGGAGATATGACAGAAATGTAGAGATACTGAGCCCCCTTACTGGCATACTGGCCCTTACAGCCCTGGACGAAATACGGAATTCTGTGCATATTGATCATGATAATGATGGTGTGAACCATGGGAACATAAATAGTGAAAGCAGCTCGGAAAGCGGTGATTCCTATTTCATGGTTCGTGCAGTTCATTTGATGTGCTCGTCTGTGAATCAAAATGGTGAAATAAAGTTTTTCATCAGAAATAAGCAAATATATGGCTATAATAAAAGGAAAGCAATCATGAGGAATCTTATCCACAGATCTTATCTTGTATCTTGAAAAAAGGAAAAGGAATATCACTTGGAAATCCATGAATGGAGACGGTTTCACACTTTCTGGTAGGCACAATAAGAGGAGACAGAGTTTTTTACAAATTATTAATTGGAATAAAACTACTATAATACTGGGAGCACAACACAAAACTATATCTATAGACGAAAGGAATATTGGAACAATGAGAATTGAAAAAGAATGATATTTGAGAAAATTCGAAACCAGTCACGATGGCACGACAGCTTTTGACACTGACAACTAGTGACAACTTACATAACCACAAATATCGAAAATTTTCAAGAAGACCAGTAGTTCCAGCTCACTAGATTTTTTCTCCATATCTAGCAGACAATGGTTTCAATTAATAGCAATGTGTAGTTGTAGTCATTCCATTCGGTATTATACTGATGAAATTGCATGTTTCAAAATAATATTGAGGTTGATCCCGGGGGATCCCTTAAGGTATATTATATTGTATCCCTAATTGTGATTATTGAAATTTAATTCACCTCTCTCCTGTAATTCCAACCAATTATCGCTTTGCATAAAATTGGGGACTGATCAGAAAGTTTAGATCAACAATCTCGTCATCTTCTCTAAGCAAAATAGCCATAATACCTTGATTGCAGTATTCTCCTGAACATCTTAGCGGGAATAGTGTGAACAGGATGTTTGAGTCCGGAGTGTCAATTTGTTTTTCAATGATTGCCATGTATAAGCTTTTGTGATGGTTACTGACAGTCTTTTTTTATAAAATATAAGAAATCAGTTCCTAAATTATTTCACGCTTTTTCCTTCACACCCTGTACTCAATATAACCAATGTAACCAATAGTTTATGTTCGGTGCCAATATAAAATATGAGAGTTAATTGAGCATACCAAAGGATTCCAATGAATTCTGCAAAATTTTGAGAAATCCCAAATAATTTTGGAGAAATTTGAGAAAATATGAAGAAATAATCAACCAGGGCCAGTTTATTCACAATTCATCATAGAGATACAAGAACTTTTTAGGAAATACAATGAAAAACCATGGTAAATTTACTGATTCCAAAGGATTTCAGTCAATACGAATTACTTTCCAACTCCAAAGAGTTCCAGGGAATTGTAAGAAATCCAATTCCAAGAATATCCAAGAAACTATAATCAAAGTTCTTTTCCAATCGTTAAGGTGTAAGAATTACATTCAAATTATTTTTTCAGTCTGGTGCTATTCTCTTCTTCTTCTCTAGAGTTTGGTTACCAAGATGAAGAATGTGAATAAAATCAATTCCAAAAAATATGAGGGTCAGTTTTGAAACATAGATTTTTGAGATTGTGAATATTGCCAATGCTAATTTCTCCTTGGATCCTCAGGGAAAACACTTTATTAAAAAAATACATCAAACTAATTGAATCACCTCTTTTCTGTAACTCCAACCAATTTGCTTCATACAACTTGGGACCGATCAGAAAGTTCAGATCTGCAATCTTGTCGTCCTCTCTGAGCAAAGTGGCCGTCAGACCCAGTTTGCAGTGGGACTGGACGATCGTCAGCACTCTCCTGAACATCTTGGCCGGAATGGTGTGGACCTCGTCGAGCACCATGATGCCCCATTCTTGCTCCTGCAGCCACTTCATCGTCTGTTCGGCCTCCCACGATCTGCGTTGGGTGTGGGTGATCATGGAATAAGTTGTTACCAGAACACTGCAACCCTATGGATTTATTTGTATAATGATAGTATTGAATATTTTTCTATATGAAAACATGATCAAATGAGTTGAAAACGTCTATGATCATGCAAACTAACTGAAAGTATTTTTTTCATTGAGAACAATTTATATGTATAATGAATACATATATGCATAATATCTGAAAATAACTAAAGAATATGATATAATGCACATTATTTCACATCCAAATGGAATTTCAAAATTTTCTGAATTCTCAATCAACCAGGATCTAATTTTATTCTTGGATCCAAGAAATCTCATTTGTTTTAAAGGGGGAGACAATTTATTGTACATGTTCTTGTTGAAGAAGAAGTTGAAGAGAATTTCTCAGTTGATAGCCAACCATCAATTTTATTTTTGTTGTCATATTTATGTTTTACATGATTATCATTTTGTAAATGTGTTCTGATATTTTTTTCTGATATATTGTTGATATTTTATAAAACAATTGCTAAATAATGATCTAAAAGAATTTTGGATGATTAATCAGAAGGTTTTTTGAAGATAATTTTGAAGGTATATTTTTGAATTAACTTAAAGGTTTCAACATTCCACACTTGTTAATATAGACCTTCCCAATCTATTATGCCATAGGCCAAAATAGATTAAAAGTGACTAAAAGAAACTGATAATTTATGGGTGACTTCCAATGTTTTTCAGCAACCTGAATTAATATAATGTCTCCCTTAGTTTTTGTATCAATTCATTAATTTATTCATGCCATTCTAGGTTGCAATCTGAGTGAATTACCAGACACTGTACAACATCAATGAATGGATGGTTTTGGGTAATGATGATGCAAGCAAAACCTTTCACTCAAAACTCAAGGTATAGGACATTTATGTCAACAATTGTCATGCTTCTAAATGGAAACCTAGGTAGTAGAGGAGAGGTATAATTTGTCTATTTATTGACACAAAATTTGTCTGCCTGTCAATGGTACTAGTTACTGAAAACATCAAGAGCTCATTTTTTCAATAGAATATCTGTTGAAATGGACAATTTTAGGTTGAAGTCTTCAAGACATCACCAGAGACAAATTACAATTCTGATTTGATCTCTAATTTCAAGTTAGTTCTTGGTGTGATTGTGTTGTTCTCCATATTGCTCTTTAACAATTTTACTGCCTGAATTTTCACTCAAATCATTTTTTGTTTTTGAATCTGATAGTTGAAAATGTAATATTATGGAATTTCCATATTGAATTACATAAATATTTTGGTGTACTCTTCTTTCATTGGATTGATTATTTATTGCCCTCATTCTTGTGCCTGTAGAATACTCCAATGTCTTCAGTTTCTTGGAATATTTCAATGAATATTCCCATTTTCATTTTGAGAACCAATCAGAATCTCTCAGATTCAGGTATCTTCAGTATTCATAAAAAAAACGTAGCCCCACCTGACGGCAACAACTTGAACACTTCTCAGTGGTTTGTTTTTATGGCTGTGACCAATGATTATATCCAAAAACTGAATGTAAACAAAAATAAACAGAGTAAACAGTCCACTTTGACAGCTTTCAAAAACCCTGATAGGTAGGATTTGCTTATTTAATAATGGGATTTACAGTGATATTCTTGATTTCCTGAAAGTTATCAGACTTCTGCTACCAATACAAAAACCCAATTGAGGCACAAGTGAAGAACCAACCTAGTTTTTCAGGGATAATTTTCATGTCATTGATTATGTCAATTTCAATGAGTATTGAATTTTGATGACAGATGACACATTCCATCATGAAAAGGTCATACATGATTACAAGTGCCCAGACAAGTGTTGATACTATTTTTCCTTGTTCATGACATTGTTCCTAAACAACTAGCTTTATTTTGCTCTAGCTGAACAGAAGGCTGAAAAGTTTAGATAAATAATTTCATTTGCCACATTAGTACATTGGCAACAAACTCTTTTTTTCTGTTGTTCATACAGTGTGTGCATGTTGAATTAAAGGAAAATCAGAAGGTTGGATCCTCAGTAGGATCATATTTTCTATTGAACCTATAAGAAGAATAAGAAATTAAACTATCAATGTTCTCAAAAGAGCACCTGTGTGGCTTAACTCACTCTTTTGCATTCAAATATGGTGGATACACATTTTGTAGATATGGAAATAAAAGGGACCATTGAAAAGAGTTGATATTCAAAAGTAACTCACCATTGGTTTATCCTTGGCTTCAGACGTGAACCTACAAATCATGCTATCATCAGCAGTAGACCACATTTTGAACTGCTGTTTCCACTGTTCCACAGACACTCCAGAGTTGCAGAGTATCAAGGCCCTTTTTCTCACTGTGCAACAAGCTGTCACCCCCACTAGAGATTTACCTGCTCCACATGGTAACACTATCACACCAGATCTTGCTCTTCCATTGCCAAACATTTTCCTCAAGCTTTTTTCTTGGTAGGGCCTCAGCACTGCAGACGGCCTCAAGTCAACATTGATATCAGGATTGACTGAATCATTTCTGGAAAATCATACAACAGTATGTCAGGAAAAAGTCCAGAAGCCTCCAGAGGTTAATATTTTCACATAGTGATGGGCAATTTGATAGGTGATTGGATATTTGCCTAAACAGATAAATGCCTGGAAAGCACTAAGGTTGCTTTGGAGGGTTCAAAATGGATGAGGCCATATTCCAGGCATTTTAAGCATGTTCCAAGAGCTTCCAGGACTCATTTTATGAATTTTAAATTCATCACTACAAAAAATAACCTAAAAGCAACAGTGAACCTGAGGTTATTTCTGGGGATGCCCTGAGATTATTTCTGCTAACACTCTTGGTGGCAGTTGTTACTATAATTATAATAACCAGCTAAGTAAACATAACTAAGGTAACTAAAAGCATGTATGAATATTCAATTGATAATCGAATAGATGATTTCATCATCACTTCTTACAGATGAAATTAGAAATGCCAGTCACAAGTGCAAATCATGAACATTTTTCAAGGAAATACTAATGAATGAAAAAAAAAATGCCAAGTGCAAATATTGCTAAAAACTGTACTCAGCACAGTTTACTAAAATGAAGAATCACTTCTACTCACATCCTGTATGATGAATATCAATTCATCATACATCCAAAAACAAGGGAATTAATGTAAGGAAATATTAGTATTACCAACAATTTACCCATTTCATTAAAATTACCTGGAAGAAAAGCTATTTGCACTATGAGTTTGGTATGGGAAGAAAGCTTACTGCATTTCCCATCCATTTCCAACATGAAAAAAATCAAATTCAATGCACCCTGAAAATGCCTGGGCACATTTATACCCTAAAACCATCTCTAACTTTCTCAACCAAAGGATCAATCCAAGGATCAATCTATACCCACTAGTTTTTCAACAACAGTAATTATGATTAACTCTCCTAATTGTGTAACACCATCAACATTTGTGGAGATGACTTCAAAAATTCCTTCCTTTGAAATATTTACTCACCTGAAATCATATTCAGCTAATAGAGGATATTCTAATTCAATACACCTTTTTTGTATGACTTCAATTTTTTCTTGGTTGACCTCAAAAGATACTGTTTCTAAGGAAGCTTCCTCATCTTCCTCTTCATTGTCCATTTTCTCATAAAAATTTGTGATATCATCAGGAACAGCAGTTCCCTCTCCACTACCCTGATCCCCTGAAGCAGCACCTTTGGCACCAAATGAGGGGACACTCTTTTTTTCTTGAACCTAAAAAATATTTGCATGATAATGATGTGGACAAACAGATGATACATTCTACTTACTTGTTTGATAAACTCTTCACTTTCATTTTCAACATTTCTCCTCAGCCTACATTCCTGAATCACTGGATCTTTTAATAACTTTTGTAGAATTTCAGGATGAGGACTCTCCACAAAATACTTGTTATGTTTTAGCACTAACTTCACTTTACCATAAGATAGGGTACACAATTTAATAAACTCAATAATACCATCAGGAACACTAGTTTTACTTAACCTCTTCAAATATTCAATGATATCATTGGTCTGTAAACCAACACTCACAGCAGCATACAAAGAATAAGCTGTTAGTTTGTATTCATGTATATACTCAGGACGGCATACTGGTTCAGATATAGCAATGAGGAAATCATGAGCATGTTTATAGACTGGTGAAAATGATTCTAAGAATATGTGGCCATTGGGGGCAACCCATAAGGGCCGAGAAGAGTTGTCTGGTTTCAGTATCATTTGGGAGCGATAGTCTTTTGCTCCAAACTCATCCTCTTGAACTCCCTGATCATTTTTTTCCGCATCTCTGGCTGCAGCACCAGGGACACCTTCACCTTCAGGTACATCTATTTCATTGATGTCTTCCTCTTCCAAGGTCCAGTCTTCCTCATCTTTCTTACGTCTTTTAGATGATTTGCTTCCTTCTCCCTTGCCACTACTGAATCTCTTGGGAGGCCCCATTCCGAGCTCATTAATTTCAGTTTAGCCAAACACACACACAACACAAAAATAAAAAAAGATACTACCTAAAGGCTACCCACAAAATGAAGAATGAACTCAATAAAATAAAATCAAAATATTGTGAACTTACACTTTGATGAGTATTGACATGTTTAAATTATGTATGTATAGTACTCCCTGCAGTGCTTCCGTTTAAATGGTGATGATTTTTTATTGATATTTGATAATATATGATAATAATAATGATGACTCATGAATGAATCAGATGAAATCAGTGTTGTCAGAAGGTTGTCAGCAATGCCAGCTGCTGAGCTGAACACAGTGTTGCCAAAGGGTTATAGGCTTAATACTGACACGCAGGCTACAAAGGCTATATTTCGAATTCAACTGACAGTACTGAATCTGCTGATTTTTCATTCCAGAATAAGAAAAATCACTGAAAGTGACAAATACTTGTGAGCAGACTACTATTCATTCCAAATATTATGAATTATGACTCAACATTCTGCTGAAATTGCTAACTATCAGGAAATAGTGTGGCTCATAGATGGTGTGGCTTCAGTGGACTGTCATTATTTCAGAGGGTAAAGGAAAGTAACATTTATTTCTGTTGTTTTTCTAACATTTAGGCTTGGTTTATCAATAATGAATCAATAATATCATATTCAATAGCCGGTTATCAATTGACGCTGAGAATGATATTCAAATTTAACCAGCTGATCAACTGCTGCTGATTACTGATGAGAACGTGTTTCGAATTACAGCACAATATTTCTGATGCTATATTTCGGAACACAGATTTTCAGCAGAGTCAGTGGATTTACTGACAGTAGTGACAGTACTGACCAGTTGAATTCGGAATATATCCAAAGGCGAAGCCTGAAGGCTATAATCCGAATTCAACTGGTCAGTACTGTCAGAACATCCACAAGCATCTAGCTAGACCAACGAATCTTCCAAACCTCGAGTTTATCAAAAGTTAATTCGTGTGTATATCTTATCTTATCTTATAAGGTAATATGAGGAAGGAAAATATCCCTCCGCATGAAAAAGGAAAGTACTTTCAACCTTACTCGTCCTAAATCAACCTCTTTCCTGTAAAGTATGTTTTTGGAAAATTAATTGAGTGAAAAAAAATGCCGCCTCGCAGGGATTGAACCCCAGTCACTATTTGAAGATTTGGAAGGCAAATACTAAGGTATCGCTTTACTCATAGTAAAATTATTATAAAGAAGGAAGAAATAACATTTGTTATGGGTGAAGTCACTTGACCTCGATGTTTGAAGATTCGCTGGTCTAGCTAGACCTATATATACTACTCATATATGAAGCATAGCTCTCCTCAAACCAATATGGCTGTTTTCATCCTTCACTTTTCGTCCTTGTAGATCCAAAAAGTACCTCTCATTTTGGTCCCATTTTTGTTGAGATATCGTATAGGCGATGCGTCATATATAGAAATAATACATATATGCCATATAACAACGTGGCATCATAGTAAATGGCAAAAGGACAAATGACAAATGACATTGAATTGACATCCATGTGCTTAATTGAGGTTAGGAATGAAATTGAAAATTGATAACCGTGAAATATAGAATAAAACATGTCTCATTGTAAGATGCATAATGTAAGATTCTATAATCCAGAACCAAGAGCTATTCGGTGTATGGCTCTTCAGGATAATACTAAAAAACTGGCTATATCTAGGTAAGTAGATACTGTAATGCAAGTGAATATAACTTTTATCCTGATCGTCTGAACTTTCAGGTCGGATGCCAGTATAGAAATTTGGAACTTGAATAATGTATGGTTCTCAGAACACTTCATAGCTTCCACTACTGAAAACTTCAGTATTGAAGGCTTGGCCTGGTGTGGAAATCGTTTATTCAGCGTTGGACTACATGGTTTGTTGATTGAATATAACATTTTGAGACTGTGCTTAGGAAATCGCTGGGCAGTCACTGGTGAAGCTGCATATTGTTTAGATGTGAACAAAACCAATTCAAGAATTGCTGTGGGTACTGAACAAGGTTATTTGAATATTTCCAGAGTGGAAGAAGATGGCCTTTCATTTGAAAAGTTCTTTGATAAACAAGAAGGCAAGATCATTTGTCTAAAGTTTAGTCATGATGGAGAGTTTGTTGTGTCTGGTAGTGTTGATGCAATAAGAGTATGGAATGTTACATCAGGTTAGTATTCATTGTATTCACCAGGACAATGATAAATTAAGTTGTTTGTGAATAAGCAAATGTATATTCATGTTTTTCAGGTCATGCCATTCACAAAATGACAACTGGTAGATCAGAAACCAACAAAGCTACTATTGTGTGGTGTCTAGAAGTTACTAATGATTTTACAATCATCAGTGGAGACTCAAGAGGAAAACTGACTTTCTGGGATGGCAAAGTGGGATCACAAATTGAAAGCTACCAATCACACAGGGCTGATATACTGGCTATTTGCCTATCAGAGAACCAAACATATCTGTGTTGTGCTGGAGCTGACCCAAATATCATCACTTATGAGATGATAAATGTGAAGGATGGTGCTAGAAAATGGGTGAAGAGCATTCAAAGAAAAATTCATGAACATGATGTGAATGCCTTGATTATATTGGACAATAAACTCTATTCTGGGGGAGCTGATAGTTATTTGGCCTGTAGTTATCATCCACCAAAAACTCTCCTCAAATTGCCACCACTACAGAATCCAAGCATCCAGATTTCTGCAGCTTCCAAGTACCTGCTGCTGCAGTACCCAAAACATGTTGAGTTATGGAGACTTGGTAGAACACGAGATGTTGAAGCTAGTTATAGGGGTTTCCTGACATTGGAGAAGGATCCAAAAAAATTGTTGGTGCTGCAGAGAACTACCAAAGATTATGATGGTGATAAGGAAAGAGAAGGGGTTATTTGTTCATCTATGTCAAAAGATGGGCAATGGTTGTTGTTCAGTACCAATTTAGGAGTTAGTCTGTTCCAGTTCTCATGTGTGAGTTGAATTTATATTTACCTAATGTATTATAATAATAATTTAATTTATTTGCAAATTGATATGTAGGTACATAATTAAGATCTCAATTCACTAATGATAATCATAATAATCTAATCTAATATCCACCTTCCCTATTAGTTACAATGCTCAACAAATACTGTCTGTAGGTTAATCATAATCAAGGAGGTGGTACATTCATTATTCCAAAATTTTTTGGGATTTTCTCCTCGTTTCTATAAAATAAAAATATGAATATTATTTCAATATACCTGTAGTAAGGACAAATCAGATGATTTGCCCCAAAATGTCACTGCTTTTAATTAATTAATTCTTTAAACACAGTGATATTTTGGGGCAAATCATCTGATTTGTCCTTACTACATGTAAATTGAAATAATATTCTTATTTTTATTTTATAGAAACGAGGAGAGAAAATCCCAAAAAATTTTGGAATAATGAATGCTCAACAAGTTGATCAGAATACAAATTTCAAGCAAATAAATTTGTAGGTTATCCACTAGAGGCCTAGCCTTGATATGTGGATTTATATCTCCATAAATGTATATGTATAATTATAATTGAGGTTATAAGAGTAATCTTCACAGGGGCAACATTGTCCAATTCACATTAAAAAAAATCAAAGATTTGATCATAATGAGAAGAGTGACACTATTACCTACCCTTGTACTATATACATTTCAGTATTGAAATAAATTATTGTTGATAATATATCCTGTGAACACCAGGGATAATCAATAGTTTCATTGAATTTTCCTCCACTTTGACCAACTATGACTATTCTTATAATTGATTTTTTATTCATAGGAAGATGATAAACCAGTGCTTCTGAAAATAGATGATTTAGATGAGAGTGATGTTCCATGTCTCAGAGCTGTATTTTCACCAGATAATTCCCAATTGATAACAGCTCCAAATATTGGTGGTTTACTATTATATCATCTTCAAGAAGATAAAGCTTCTATCTCACAAAGGATTGTAGTGGAAGGTACTTTTATTTAATTCTGAAATAATGGAACTAGAGCCATGAATTCAAAATCTAAACTTATCATTTCAATGTAATGCTTAGATATATTTTATCCATGAATTGGTAATCATTGAAACATTGACATCATCTTTTTCATCATAATACAAGATCCAGTCATAGGTTCTTCCCATTTCTTATTGCTCCATATTTTCATACCTATTACACTTTCTCATTTCTTAGATTATCATGGAAACCTGTCTCAAGTTTTGTTAATGATTTTTCTTTTACTTTTGTAGGTTTGACAGATAGTGTTTCCTTCTTGAATATTACAAATTGTGGGAAGTATTTGATAGTGGGTGATGCTAGTAGTAATATAGTTATATTTTCTTGGTATAGAAATAAACAATGGACACATCACTGTAAATTACCAAAATATAAATTCCCACCAACTGCTATGGCAGCTCACCCAACCACACTCTGTTTAGTTGTAGTATATTCAGACAATAAGGTGAGCAATTTTAATTTCATGCGGAATTATCAGAACATTACTTTCAGTGTACTTTAAATTTTTGATTTGAAATTTTTGTTGCAGATTGTTGAATATGATTTGAAAAAGAGACATTTTACAAATTTCTCAAAACAGCTTGAGAATACTGACTTGAAGTCAAGAATGTACCCTATTAGAAATATTACATTTGACCCTAGAGCAGAAAACATAATCTTGTTACATGATGACAACAGTATTATAATATTCAACAAAGGAAAGGTGAGTAACTTTCCACTATACTACTCTACTGAGTTTATGCTATTCAAACAAATTTTGACTTCTTTTCAGTGAGTATTTTTTGGTATTTTTTATTGTGGTTTGGTTGTTTGAAACAATCCCACCAATTGAAAATATTTTGTGGAATCTCATTATTCATGCCCTGTGGTTTGGTTGTTTAAAACAATCCCACCCATCCAAAATATTTTGTGGAATCTCATTGAATTTTTTCTCAAAAGTCATTGTTTTGACCTATGCTTATCAATCAGATATTGTGGTATTTTTTTATATTTGAAGGGGAACCCTATCATGCATCTGAAAAATGTACCAATTGGTCAATTCATTCATTATTATTTTCATTATTATTGTTATTATTATTAGTTTTATCATTATTAATTATTATCAAAAAGTGAGTATGGGCTGGGGGTGTGAACCATAGAAGACCATTTATACATGAAGTAGGTATATGCACATAAATATATATAATAAAAAAAGTTACCAGACAAACAATTGAATTTAAATAAACTAAAAAAATGATTAAAATATTGAATAGACATTGAACATTTCAATATCATGTCAGTAATTCTTTTTGATGTTGAATAACATGATCTGTTTCTTGAAAAAAATTGAAAGTGAGAAATGAAAGAAAATAAAATGTTCCTTTTAAATTAAATTTCAACTATTAACTTATAACCTCATTATACACAATTTATATCATCATTAAAGCTTGTGGAGATGATCAATATTTAATTAAATTGAAATTTTAAAAAATTTATCTTTGCAGATTTTAAATAATTAAATTAGTACTAGTTTATTTACACAAATAAAGTTTAAATTTTCAAAATTTCAATTTAATTAAATATTGATTATCCAGACAAGCTTTTATGATCATATAAATTGTGTATAAGGAGGTTATAAGCTCGGTTATAAGTTGATAGTTAAAATTTGATAGGAAATGAAATATGAATGAAGGCTTTTTTAAAAGTTTTTTCTTTACTTTCAATTCATTTTTTACTTTTTAGCCTAGCTAGGTTTCTCAATATACCGCCTATCTCGCCAAATTACACAAGTCAAAGTTAATCAATCGATGTTACATGCTTAAAAATCAATTCTTTTAATCTGCATTTTCATTCTGAAAGAATCCTTTTATTTTATAGGGAAGCACAATAATGCGCCATATTGGACTTGTCACATTATTCCTAATTATTCTCGGCAAGCCCCTTCATTCGATACCCATATTGCAGAAGTGCATAAATAATAACTAATCCGCCATCTTGGATGGTTCGCCATATTGGATTTAGAATGACATCACATTATTTTTGGAGTTACTCATCTGATAATCATATTGTAGAAGTTCATTATAAGTAACTATTCCGCCATCTTGGATGGTCCGCCATATTGGATTTAAAATAACGTCACACACCTTATCGTGCATTTTCATCCAAACTGAACGTGTAAACAAAATTTCAGCACAATCGGTTGAACAAACAATATAGTTACATACATACGTTGCAAGTTGAACAAGAGCTGTTGAAATTTAATAATAATATCAAAAAACAGATAGCTTAAAAACAAATAATTTCACATAGCATCGTACTTTTTTGTGAAATTCCTCTAATTTTCTCTTTTTCAATCTGAAGGAAAGAGGGAAAAACTAAGATTGGAAAGATGAAGTGAAGAATTAGTGTAGATATTGATCTTTGAAGCCTAAATCAGCACGCCGGTCAACACAGTGTGCTAACGCAGTACATGGAAAATAAAAAAAAATAGTTGTTCAGCAAAGAAGTACAAGTATAACTATTTCATCATGGATCAATAACTAGTTCAACTATGCATTTTCTTTTCCACAAATAAATAAGACCTACAACTTTGTCTTTTTGGAACATTGAAAATGACCCCAGAAAATGATATGACATAGGAATAATATTCTAACAAGCAGTCATCAGCATAACATTAAAACATTATTGATAGATTATTGGTATAAAGTATATGTAACAGGGGGCCCAGCACGGATCCTTGAGTAATCAGTAGTTTTCCATATCATAAAGTACCCATCTGAATTCAGTCACATATTTATACTTGTTCTTGAGATAAGTATAGTGAATAGATTGAGCGCTAACCCTCTAATGCCATAAAGAGGCGATTTTTTAACTACTAAGAGGTGGACTACACTATCAAATGACATATCCAGATTGACAGCACTGGTTACATGTACGCAGGGTCATGTATGAAAGTCGAGATCAAAGTTATATGCATCTTGAGTGTACTATTTGAACGTCGCCCAGAAACGAGTGAGATATATGCGATAACATTAGTCTTGCAATTTATCACTGTCAGTGGTCTAGGGGTGCAACGTGCAACGACTGGTGTTCAAAATATTCAGATCTACGCTGATCAACACAGTAATAGTCCAGTTCCATCTCGTAAATGGGTGAGCTTTTGTCGTACGGCATTATACTTTTTATAACTATGTCCTAGTTGGAAGCTTCAAGCCCACTTCAATGTTAGGCAATTTCACGTTAGCAATACTTTCTCAAAATCTCAATAATACAAAACCACCATTATCTTGCCATGTCTATGATCTTACTCTAGGTTAAATTTATTACGAGAAATTCATTATGATTCAATTCTATAATTTCAGTGCGAGATTTGCTGCGAGGCTACTATTATAACCATCTCTCTAGACTTTTAGGGTTTCATCTTCTCACCTCTATAAATAAAACTCAACATCAAATATCGAATCATATGAATCAAAAATGAAGAATCTTACCTGAATATTTTCTGCAACGTTCGTCGTTGGATTGCAACATATAAGTTTTGGTTCCGAATAGGAGTTTCCTCAGTAGGCTTCATCTACATTTACACTTAACGTGATTTATATTAAAGACCTCTAGAACCCCAAACACTGTGCTGCTCGGACCTAAAACTAAGTATTTATTAAAATTTGTATCGTGAGACGAACATGAAATGAAGAGTCTGGATATTGTTTTCAACATTCATAACTGGAATGCGATATATTTTTGTAATTTATCAATTAATCAACTATCTCAACAAATACGAGGCAGGCAGATAAGCAACAATTTTCTCTGCGATGAAAAACACTGTATATACCTAACCCATCTAGCGTCTACCTCCTTTGCAGAGAGGGTTTATGAACGCAAAGTTGGTACTCTCCCCTCGTAAGGGTACCTGTCGTGTTTCCATAGAGACATAAAGGTGAATATCTGTCTATCTGTTTCTGCTTGAGAATCTGGAAAAGAAATCAATATATCGCCTTCCGTACGAACATGGTGATCTGAATTTAGAGAAGTATACTCTGGTCATTTTTCTTTGTGGATCGTTTCTTTGGTTCGGCTCGACTGGATGGTTTTCTCGGATTTTGTGTCAAGTATCAAACACTGTGCTTCTCGGATCTGCAACTTAAAATCACATATCAAATATCGAATCATATGAATCAAAAATGATTACCTGAATATTTTTCTGCAACGTTCGTAGTTGGATTGCAACGTCAGTAAATAGTGAATCAAAAATTAAGGGACATGGAAGCCGTTTTGGCACAAAAGAATCCCAAAATTGAGGAACCTCGATTTTGAACACTATATCTCTGTAATCATCCCCGCTAGACCCCAAGAGTGATGCATTGATGAAATAAGATCTTCATGGAGAATATAAAAATGCAATACAGGGTGTTCAGATCATGTACATTCATACATATAATCAAATTTTTAGATCCGTCCAATTAACGCTCATCGTGAAAACAGGGAAACTGTACGATGAAAAACAAATCCTAAAATGTGATGAGGTGCCCTCTAGTGAGCATATTCGATTTTTCAAATTTCAGTTATAAAGCTAGAAAAAAAAAGGAGAAATGGGGTTATACCATATGACTCTGTGTCAGTATATCACTCATAATAAAATAATGAAAATAACACTCACCAGTGTGAAAACAAAATGAATTTGTATAAAATAGTCCACTTCTGCTATTCCATTGTTTGAAATTTTTTATTTTCCACACACAGGAAACACCAAAACAACACACGATCGCGATCATGTAATCACTGATTTGAATGAGAAATACAAAAACACGATACTATCACTCATTTTTTAGTGAACACTCTGTTTGGAATGCTTATCAATCATTCCTTTAGCGTATTTTTAAATGCCTGTCAAAAAATTCGACCGTTCATGATGACATCTAATATGAGACTGTCTTGATTTGAATCATGCTGATAATGATAACCGATTAATTTACGAACAAATGATTCATCTATGACCGAGTCTATGACCAATGATGATAATGAAATTATACGGGGGACAAATATATACAGGGTGTTTGGTTCACCGACGTATATCTGGGTGGTATGTGATGTGATTCTGAAAATATTTAAACATATTTTCTGTTATACAAAGTGTTACATTTTTGAAGAAATCATCGCTGTAATAAATACGAAGTTGTATGTTACAGAAACTCGTTTTCAAAATTCCAAGCCAAAAAAATTTTTCAATATCTATGAAAATCGTATCCAACTCTTGAAAAAGAAGAAATTACAATCAGATGCAATGTTCGACCAAACGGAGATATCTCAAAGTTCGTGACACTTTGTATAATAAGTCCCTTTCAGATATACGTAGATGAACCAAACACACTGTATATCATACGAAATAGCAGATGAAGAATTGAACACGGAGAGTGGTGGATTTTTTTTAGAAAATCTCCCAAGATATTATGAAATAATTCACCACAGGCTGAAAATATATCTTTTACAAAAATCTTTCGTGATATGAAAGAATTCAACCAGACAGTATGTAGTAAAAAATCGAACGCTTCTCACATACTAGTCAAGAAACAATTCATCATAGTGACATACAGGCAAACAATTTCTGTTAAAATATCACATTTGAGAATATACAGGGTGGGACAGTGGATAATCAATTCCTTTCGCGTATATTCCAATGCCTATCACAAAATTCAACCGTACTTGAGGGGTAAATCACGGCGAAAA